ATTGCAAATGTTTAGAATAATTCAATATTGAAAATGAAAACTCCTAAACTATTGGGGTTGATAAAGATTAGATGATTTCACTAAAAGCAAACAAAATGCACGATTGAAAAAGGTTCTTTAGAGTAGGTTACTTTTACATAAGTCATTTTAAATAATTCCAATATATCGAACAGATTTATGACAAAAAACATTTACCATCATTTGAGTTGCTAAAAAGGTTGAACAAGATGGAATCCAAACATGCGTACATTGAAAGTTTGTTGTTTTTATATATTGTTTACATTTGGTAGATTTTCAATGTAATGTTTTGCATTATCGTGGAGATAAACTGATAATAAAACATTGCATAAATACGCCATCTCAACTTTTAGTCGTTTCCCTGCAATGTTAATTAATGAAATAGATGCATCCAATGTTATGCATGTTATATAAAGGTTAGCAAATAAACTCAACTCAGCTCGAATAAATGGGTAAATTTTTAGAAGTGTATACGTAATAATATAAGAAAAAGAAAGGAAGAAATGATTAACCATTCGCATAACTAAAGCGGGGAAGGATTAATGTACTTTGAAGGTGAGACAACTCCTTTGGTTTTCCCATATATTAAATCATAATGAGAAATGTGAAACAAACATATCTTAAAATTTCTTATCCTAAACAGTTGTTTTCTCTGATAGTGGTATGCTGCAACATTAAAATCATCCCGCTATATTGACGTTCGCAAACAATATAGACGTGGCCAAACTATATAGACGTGGCAAAACTATATTAACATGGCCAATAGACGTGGCCAAACTATATAGACGTGGCCAAACTATATAGATGTGGCCAAATTATATAGACGTGGCCAAACAATATAGACGTGGCCAAACTATATAGACGTGGCCAAATTATATCAACATGGCCAATAGACGTGGCCAAACTATATAGACGTGGCAAAACTAAATTAACATGGCCAATAGACATGGCCTAACTATATAGACGTGGCAAAACTATCTATACGTGATCAAAATATATTAACATGGCCAATAGACGTGGCCAAACTATATTTTCAAAGTAACTTACAAGTAAGTTATTGGTAAAGTATTTAAGTAATAAGAATAATGCATTATAACACATAGTTCGTCAATTTTCTGTCCATACATTTATGCATTTAAAAAATGTACAATTAACTTTTCCACTAGTATTGACAAACAAAATGTAATGCATATATTGCTTGGCTTGAAACTAACTTCATCTTAACTTATACGGAGGATTATTTCAAATCGCAGAACTTATTTATATGTATTACTTCACACAGGATATGCATCGGTTTTGGAATTGCTTCCATCTTCTTCGACCTATTTTATGTTTTAGACATTAAATTTATATAAAGGAATGTATTAGTGGATGGAAATAGAATTATATTTCGACTTTTATATCTATAATTATTTATTATATCTATAAATATTTATAACATACATTAACCCCCAATGTTATGTATCTCCCTATTTTTCTCTGTACTTAGGCATCTGGTATATTTCTGAATATGCACTATTTTATTCTCTAGTTACTATAGTAGTTTTGTCTGTTTCATTAGAATTTAATCAATAATGTTTCATCACTACAAATCATTAATTATTTATAGTTTTAAAATGTTTTTAAAATAAAATTCAAACGAATTTCAAACGTAAATAAATGCATTGAAGGGAAACCCACAGTTCATTAAAATATTCGAATATTCCATTAGCATTTAGCACGCTTCCTTTTGATTTGTCATTTATTTTTTTATTTATTTATTTATTTATTTTATTGAAAGAAGTACATTAAAACGAAGTAAGATGCTTTGATTTTCGATTTATGCAGTAGTTTGGTTTGGTTCAGTGGACCTAAAATTTCAGAGTTGCTGAAAAACACAATTTCAATATTTTCTAAAACGTTTACACGCATCTTTTAATCCTAAAATTTAACTAGTAGGGTTTTTGTCACAAAAAAAAACAAATGTCTTCCAAAACTATGTATGGTCACTCCTGTGAATTTTGCTTGAAATTCCGCCAGCAGCTTATCATGTGATATCCGAACAGGATTTTTCTATTTTGAGCTCTGATAGCTATTTTATAAAGCGATGCAGAACATGCCTACCTGCGATATACACAACAAGGGATAGTACTGATCACTCCTGTAAAGTCTGGTTGAAATCCATCCAGCAGTTTTACCTGTGAAAGCCAGACAAGATTTTTCTATTTAAAGCTCTGGTGGCCATTTTTGTGCAGCAAAGCGGACGTGTTGGGGATCTTTACAACTAGGGATGGTACTGATCATTCCTGTGAAGTTTGGTTGAAATCCCACCAGAAGTTTGACCTGTGACAGCCGGACAAGGTTTTTCTATTTTTAGCTCTGGTGGCCTTTTTTTGCAGCAAGGCGGAACGTGCCAGCCAGTGATATGCATAACTAGGGATGGTACTGATCACTCCTTTAAAGTCTGATTGAAATCCCACCAGAAGTTTGACCTAAGAAGCCCGGACAATGTTAGAGCATACGGACAGACGGACGGACAGACAGACAGACGGCAGAGGCAAAAACAAGACTTTTGGGAAACATAATTTAATGTTAATTTATATTTGTCAATCATTGAAATATATGAATATGGGCCGCCTTTCAGAAAATCCTCCCGATTCTTCTAAAGTGGTGTTCCTCAAATGTATGTCTGTGTTGTTTTATACTGTTTTGGTGACACTTTTGCTTGTGTCCCTTGTTGTTATCTCGTCTACGGTAAGTATCTTCCCCTTTACCCTTAGTTTTATTTCTTTAATTTACCACCCTTCCCCGGGTCTCCTGTGCCCTTCCCCTGTGTCCGTTAACTTTGTGGGCCTATTATTCAATCATTTATTTGTTTTCTTTGAGTTCCTTGTCAGTAACAAATTATTTCCTATTATTTGATCAATTGTTTGTTTTCTTTGTGTTCCTTGTCAGTTACAAATTATTTATCATTTTAGTGATTAGCCTGACCGTGCTCTGCCTTGTGCCCTGTCCTGTTTTTGTTTGGGGTCCGTCTGGACTCCTTGCCACTGGTTCTTGTTGCTGGGTCATGTGCGGGTTGCGTTCATTGAACGCCGCCTTTCCTTGTTGATCTTGTTTATCATATTTTACAAACAGTGCACTTCAAAAATGTCATAATAGTGTCAGAATAGTTATGTTAATGCTTCGAAAAATTTATTGAAGGTGCCTTATTTTTCCTTTTTGCATTATCAGTAAGCGATTGATTAAAACAGTTAAGTCTTTGTAAGCGTTTAGAAATAGTTCAATACTTTTTTTTACTACTCACAAGCTAGAATGAGAAACAAATATCGAATGTTTTCAATATTTCCAAGCCTTTAAAACACCATTACAATATCATCAAATTATCTTTCCATGTACGAAGTTCGAATATGTCCCCAGCTACAAGCGACATTCTAACTTTCAAGAGATGAGTTCAAGTATTCAAAATGGACAAACTCTTGTTTTTATCATTACAGTTTTAAATGTAAATCAATCAATCAATTTTATATGTTCTTGAAAAGGGACTGAATTACTGCACAATCATACATCTTAAAATAAAATAGTAATAATAACCTTCAAATTCTTTAAATTTCAAATTAAATATTCTCTAGAAAAATGCGCCATTTATAAGTCTATAATCCATATGCAATACGTTTTTTAAGCAAATGATGTGAAAGAAACTAAAAAAGACTGCATCATTGTTTGTTTATATACTACTTTTGTTTTGCTACAGAGCAGTGTTGATTATATCCATGTTATGGTTACTCAACGCAGTCACACTCCACAAATTATGTATTTTATTAATAAGGAAAAAGAGAATAGAATATTGCACAAAAACATTGTATGTTCAATTCAAAATTTCAAGATAATAACATATACATTTGCTCTCGACTTGCTTTATAACCGCCTGCCAGTTGGGAAAAACCAATATCAGCTTTTACCTTTACGCCACTTAATTTATAATAATATTATTGTCTTTTTACCTGTTATTCAAAGAAACGCGAAAATTGCACCAATCGTATCTGGTATCGGTTACAAATTACTCACTGTTCTATTTTCAAATCAAGCTTTGTATAGTGAGGTATACAGCTGTTGATCAATTTAAGGGTGAACGTAGATGAAGTTGAGTTTGCTCGGTTCTTTATTGTGTAAGGATATGGAACTAAGTAAACCGTATTTCTACATGAATATTTCTGAGGAATACTAAGCACATTAACACCAGTTGATTGAAATATATTAAAAATGTGTAAATTCATAAAAATGAAAATACTTTTGTGACATATTTCATAGCATAGCAAAGGGCGATTATCAAGTGTTTTTGTTTTTTTTGGATTTACTGATCTACAAAAGACATTGTGAACATAGGGGGAAATATGTGAACATAAGGGGAAATTAAAAAGGATTATATGAATTTGTTATATGATGTAAGAATAAATCTGAGTTCTAATCCGATTCCTTAAGGTCAACTTACAATATGTATAAGCAAGTTAAAATTGAACATAAACGAGTATTTGAACTTCTTGAAAAAATGCGGGATCAATGTTTATTAAAAGGTGTTGGTGGATTAAAATCACTAGCTGTTGTTTTCAGAAGAATGGATACTGACTTTTCAAAGTGTTTGTGCTATCAAGAGTTTGAAGAAGGATTGAAATTATATGGTGTTCAATTTGATAAAAGTGATCTTCGAATGTTATTTGATTCATTTGACAGGGATAGAAATAAACGAATAGATTTTCTGGAGCTAATTGCTAAACTCAGACCTCCTATGTCAAAACTTAGAACCGATGTCATAAACGAAGCATTTGATTTGTTAGATGCAAATAAAGATGGTGTTTTAAAATTGGAAGATTTGAAGAGTGAGTAAAACACAGACATACATTTTAATGTGAATTATTTTCGAAAAGAAATGCATCCATTAACCTATTTCGATAAATCGTTTTAATCGTTAAATATGAAGCATACTATCAATACTTTTTCATTTACATATGATAGAATAAATAGGCAGTTGACATACAGTGTTAGCTATTGTTCTCAATACAAATCATAATGAAAAATATAAGCAGGAAATTAAATGTAATTAGAAACACACGAATGAATAAAAAGGGCAATCAAAATAATCAATGTTGTAACTAGGCGATACAGCTAGTTCTGTTACAGGTAATCCTTGTGTTGATATTGATTAGAGAAATCGTTGAATCACTGCAACGCAACTGAAATGATGTGTTACCTTCCGATGTGAGCAATATCCTTTTAATTTCCAATATTCTCTGCTAACATTTCCTTATAGGTTTGCGTAGGTAGTTTTTCATATGTGAAAGTCTAAAACGGCTACTTTGAAAATTTGAAAAAAGAATGATCATTTATTGGATATGAATAATGTTATAAAGGCAAAAATGCACACTTGTCTGGCTTAACTAGATATCGGAGGTTGTATGTTAATTTAAATAAGTGTTTTCATTTCATGTAATTATGTAAATTAATAAAATGTTTAAGTGTTAATTATCAATTTTGAAACGATATTTGCGTATTACTTTAAATGCTTAATTCCTTTGTAAAGTTTAGTATTCGTGATAGCTTTAATGATACAAACATGGTAAATGGTAAATTTTACGTTTTAGTTTGAAGTTACTAAACCATGAAGGAATATACCAACGTGGTTTAAAACTGTACCGAGAGACCGAAAACAAAAACATATAACGATATTATACTGTGACATACGCCTCTTTTTGAATAAGCAATGAAAATTTCAGAAAAAGAAATATCTTTATATACATACTACAAGAAAGAAGTGTTTCTTTTATATTGTAAAATATTTTAATGTTAAAATATCATTTGTTTTCGTTATCTTTTTAACGCAAAACAAACGCGGAATCTAGATTGATTTTAATTAATGAAAATGAACAAGTGTGTTTTTATAATTTCAGTCGTCTATTCTACAAACGCTAGAAGACATCCAAAGTTTGTATCCGGTGAATGGACTGAAGAACAGGTGCTACGGAACTTCTTGGACAGTATTGATACACCTGGAAATCCAGATGGTAAAGTAACACGTGAAGAATTCATGAACTATTATGCTGGTGTCAGTTCAACAGTTGATGATGACAGCTATTTTGATCTTATGATGCGGGCGTGCTATGGTTTGCCAAACAGAGGATCGTGACATTAACAAAGAAACATAAATGTTTACCCATTTTCAATATAAAAATTTGGAACTATTTCTAGAACAAAAATGGAAATTCATATTTACTAATTGTTTAAATTTATATAGAAATATTTTCATTAGTCTTGATTGTAAATAATTTATATATTTATAAGCGTAATATCCATATCTAAATATTGTTTTTGAAATAGTTGTTTGAGTCAATTATTCCTTAATAATTACTGTAACAATCTTGCAATGCAATTAGATACTTTAAAATGATGTATTGAACTATGTTTAATATGTTAAACAAAAGAAAACTTATCGTTCTATTGTAAAAAAAGTTTAACTTAATTCTTTTCAGTCCTGTACTACTTTATTATATTGTCTAAAGCAAAAAAAGCAAATATTCCGCATTCCTTAACTTCATCCAGGTGTAAATGGATACACGTGGGGACTGGCCAACATGTCAGATGCTAAGGGCGTGACATTTAGACAATTAAATGTCATAAGTTCAAGTTTCATTCTTAGTATTTAAAGCGTAAATTTTCCTGACAGTAACACAATAGCTTGCCAATATAATTATTAATTAATGTAATTTGTTCTGAATCGGAAAAATTTTTACTGTAGATTTACATTTGGCGTTGTTTAAGATTGCTACTTCAAATAGATTCTATCTTAAAATGTACCAGAGTTTCGTTGACAGTGTTGTTCTTAAAGCTTTTGAAAAAAAGATGAAATCAATTTCATATTTTTGAGACTAAATAGCTTAATATAGTAACTTGTTGGGAGCAAATTTAAAATTTTATACATTTTTTACCAAACTTTTTATAAAATTTTTGAAAGAAAATTTTTTTAGAACAACATTAAAATGCTAAAGTACCAAGATTCAATTAAGATATACTAAATGATTATTTGAAAAAAACTGTAAACAAATACACGGGAACATGCCCTCACATAAACTGTAATTATGAATTTATTTTGGTATATTGAAATATTGTTTATGCAATTTCCACAAATTATTAACGGTTACTTATGAAATAAGTAATTTGTTTTTCTTTTCTTCTTTGATAGAAGATGAAATATGAATAGAAAAAGTGGTTTAATGTTTTGTCAAAGTTGTTTAAGGAAAACAAAATATTTAATATCCATTTTTTCATTGAACAAGCTTTGTTTAAATATAAGTCTAAAATTGTTTTATTTCAAATTTGCATTGACAAGCAATGAATTCAATATAACATGAAGAAATGAAATATTTCTGAGAAGATTCGGATATATGTTACCTCAGATACTTTTGTTGTTTTTAACAGTACAGTTGAAATGGTCAAACACCTTACTTATCACTTAAAAAGATTCCGTCATAACACGAAAAGGCCATCTAGTAACAAAGTTATGGTTTTGGCTATTTGGGACTGTTACGTTTTTAAAATTTAAACTCTAAATTTACTAATTAAGATACATGGTTTAAAATTGATTATACCTAATGCTCATTATTAATTTGAATAATTAAAAATTTAATATACTTTCAACCTTTAGATTGTGTTTGCTTTATTAATTTTGTCGTTTTTACATATATCTGTAAAATTGCCAGGATCCCATTCCAAAATTCCAAAAATTATGTTTGTATTCGTGCCATTTTTCTCAATTAGGGCAAACTCTTACCTCAAGGGAAAAAAAAAATTGCTTTTTCCAATTGAAAGTTGCACCAAATAACCATTTAGGTTATATAATTTGACCGCTATGTTACAGATAGGGAGATTTTTAACTTGGATTCATTCAGGTAAGCCCCTTCTCCACAAACATCCAGCCACATACTAGCTTCCGGCCACTTTACAAAAACCAACTATCTGCCAAAAATTGTGAAAAGTTTCCTGAATTCCTTCTTGTAAAGCTTTGTTCTTTGGCAGAAGAGATTTTCAAAAGTGGCATTGGGCAAAATTATTTACTTTTACAAAACTGTTAAACATCAACTGGACGACGGTAGTTTCTGCTTTGCATGCTGTAACGTACTTTCGCTCTTTAAAACCCCGAGTATTGCTCATTTTTTCAATTTCGCCTTACTGGACAAATAAGTAAACTTTTTTCTCTTTTTTTGTATAATTTTATACAAAATGATTCTTATTTTTCTTAGACCGAAAAATTATGATGAGAAAAATATGCTTTAACATGATAAGAATAAAATTTGTTTTTTGCGCAGTTTAAAAGCTACATAAAATGCAATATCAAAGAAAAAAGAAAAGAAAGAATTACATGAAAATGTTTATTTTAAAATCAACAAAATAGATCCTCGGAAGGGATTAAAACAAAACAAATATTCTGTGAAAGATTGGAGGCTTTGTCATAAATCTATTTGGCAGCTTTGATATTGAAAGCCATGTTATCATGAGTTCCACTTCAAAAATTTAATTAACAATAATACACATGACTGTGGTGAATTGAATTTTGACTAAATATTTATTTATTGTTACATTATTCTACAGGTGTGATAAATCTAAAGAGAGTACCGTTTATAGCAAAACAGAATTAACGATAATTTTTTGTCGTTGTAAAAAGCCACTAGTAAAGGGGAAATCAGATTAGATTCACGAATTTGTGTATAATATATGCTGTATAATAAAATATCAACGTTTAATAACACACACGTATGCTGTATTTGCTAATAAACCATTTGGCAAATGGTAACTATGGAATGAAAAGAAATGACGGTTGCCGTTATTACTCTTTCCCCACTGATTAAAAAAAGCACACTTGCGGAGAAATTGGTATTAAATGTTTAGTTATTCAAGAAAATGAGTTAGAAGGCTGACCTTCGAGACATAAATCATAATGTGTTAAAATAAGCGTAAAAACTAGTCAAACAAACAAACATGGACATCTTTTTGTTGACAAAGTCTAAAGGTTTACGATTTCTACTACTGTTTACTTTTTAATTTCATATTGAGATACTTATACAAGTGTTCATTCTATTTGTTAAATGATACATGGTTTATAAATAAGGCAATTATACTAGTTTCATTTAAATTCAGTTTTATTGAAAGAGTTAGGCAAAAACGTTTTGAATTATTACTTTAGCAAGCGTCATTTTTACAGACTTTCGTTTGCTAAAAATACTAATAGATTTTATTGTCTATAGGTTTTTTCCAGTATATTCTCGGGGCGGACAGAAGGTTACCGTTAGGCATCCCTATAAAAAAGATATCCATATAGTCTCAGGGGCCAATGAAATAATGTCTTGTAATTTCTTTATGTCACTTTTTCATGACAATTGGTTTGTCGAAAACTCTACCATAAACGGGAAACAAAATTGTTATCTTTAGATAGATTACTCATATATGTTGTAGTAACAGATTGCAAACCAAATAACCATGATGGAAAAGTGACGTAATTAATTTATGAACAGCTGAGTTGCGTCTATCGCAGGAGTAGGAGAATATGATATCACAGCGATTACGAGTATTTCTTATTCGGACATGCCATTGTCCAACAAAGACAAATCACAAAAGTATTAGTTTTTTTCTCAGTTTTTTTTCCATGACATTTTTAATTATCAAAAATCTCAATTATTTTTTGCATCAATATCTTGCCTAAAATGTACTTTCCAGAATTCCAATTTACTTTCATGTAAAAGGCTCCCCTTTTCGGCCTTATACAGAAGAATGTACCTGTTTTAAAAATGAAGAAAAACATTGGCCATAAAGTTGTCATTTTCTTTATACAAACATGTTTTAAACATCAACTTACAGCACGTGTCAAATGCCGTGTTGCAGCTGTAAAAAGACCCGTACTTCCACTTTGGTATACCGTACCCCGGATATTGCTCGATTTTATGAGGACTTTCATCCCATTTCGCGACTGTGAACTGGAACAACGGTAAGTTAAGCGACGATGTTTAATCATTTTGAATTGATTTGCTATCAATTTTATAGACAAACCAATACTTTGATAATTTCTCTAGTCACCGAAAAGCCATAAATGATGAGAAATAGCTTTGAAATGTAATAAGGAGATAAAATTCGGCTCTTTGCCACGTTATAAATCAGCTCGGGTCAGTCAAATTTCATGTTTTTGTGCATATACTTCCTTTAAAGAAAAACTTGAATCGAATGAAATGAGATTACGATGATAATGTTTATGTTGTAAATTTTCAATCAACAATAAAATCTCAGATGACAGTGCATTTTGAGAATAAATATACAATGTCATGTCTGTGAACCGAGTATTGCTTTGGAGTTGCTCGTCGGTGTCATGAGTATTGCTTTTTAGTGTAACGAGTATTTGTTATTATTATCGAGTAAATGCCAGCGTTATCACAGAGTATTTACCACATTCAATCTTAAACATTTCTAATTGCGTATACTTATTGACACTATATGTGCGGAATATGCAGAGTTCGGAGATACTTTACTGGAAACATTTGCGAATAATCCATAGGCAGTGAAATTTTCATTCCTGCTCATGAAAAAACTCAGTCGAACAAAGTCAGCATTTTTCTGTATGCTATCAAAGGATCAACCTTTGCAGAATTTATCAATAATGATTGCACATCTTACTATAAAAAAAAACCAAAATTGTATTGAAAGTGCATTGATGCTGCCTCAATATTGTGAATATAAGCCGGTATTGAACAAGTGTGCCAATATCTGATATCAACTCACTTCCTACTATGTCAAAAATCCATATCAAGGTAACTTTTGGTCATTTTGCACCTGTATTCTAGCAATGACCGACCGTCTGCACGTGAAATTTGTTACGGCATTAGCAAAGAGTTATAACTGTCCAGAGGGTACTACACTCTCAAACCGAATAATGGATTTTGACGAGCTCATATGATACAGGGCAGCAACTGCAATAAAATGGTCATGATACAGGGCAAGTGTTCTTTAAGCCTATACCCGCATACTTCGACGGCATTTGGCTTCGGATTAATATTTTACTAAGTGTGCCGATATCTTTCTAAAGGCACACTCCTCTGTAAAAACCTATAATTAATGTCATCTGAATACATTTTGTTTTTCTTTTTAAGATGTGGATCCCCTTGATCGCAGTTTCTTGGGGCATGTTTTATAAAGATTTTGATCGTCAATATTGTAAGTTCTACCCTGCTCCCAACAAAGTTCAGGCGTTCTCTGATAAGCACACACTTCGCCATCCTCAATAATACGCTTCAACTTTATTTCATTCCAAGTGTGACTTTTAATCAAAAGGGAAATTAAATCTTTGTATTTGTCCGTAGAAAAGAACAGTAATATCACTGAATGCATTGTTGAATCTAAAATAGTTGAATAAATATCGTCAACAGTACATAATTAGCAAAATAAAATGGCATAATCGATAACAAACGCAAAAAATAGACTCAAATTTAGATTTTTCATTCTAAGTTGCTCATTCTGTTTTGCAATACTCTGTACACTAAAGTTGAGTTAATGTGCAACACTCGGTACACTACAAATCAATACTCGGTACACTT